TTGTATCATTCGGTCAGGTAACTACGACTTGGCTTTATTACCGAATCTTTGGGCATAATAAACTTCTTACCGACAGTTTACAACTTTGACACTCGCATTTAAAACTGGATATATAGTTACGATAATAATTTCATTTTAGTACCTGTCTATCTAATAACACTGCAACGCCTTGAAGGACAAGACTGTAATGATAACAAAAACTACAAAGCCCGCAATAAATAGTAAAATTAGATGTTTTACTATGTCGCCGCGTCTGAAACTAAAAATAAGCCAAACTGGTATTTTCTTTGGACACGAATTATGTATTCTGCTGCCATAGTTGAAATCAAATTTTAATGTCCGCTTCGTTTTTAATGCTATACTTTTTTCTAAACTGAAGGGAGCAGGATATTAACATACTTACACCTACACCCCAGTAGACTCATCAACATTCAAATACAAATTATATATGATGAGTTGAACAAATAATGTTGAATTTAATGCACCTAAAAAGAGCTTAATGATCCAAAAACAGCCCTTAAAATTAAAACAACAAAGTCTGTAGAGGGTTTATTCTCTGGGAATCGAACAGAGGGACATTCTATTACCTGCAATCATCAAAAGGCAACGGTCCTGTTTTGAAAAACAGGAGAAATATTGGTACAGACACCTTTAGGTATCCTTCCTTAAAAATAATATATAATAATAATTATAATATATAATTTGAGGGTAGTTTAAAAGATTTTGAGAGTTCGGTTAGATTAGGACATCCTTCAAAGAAGCAGGTGATACATTCCGATAGACGTAATTAACAAAATACCTTCCACACATTTACCAAATTATACATTTTTGTATCAAAATGTCACAAAGAAGTGTCTTATTATGTGAGGTAAAGCGGATAGGTAGAACAATTAACTTAGCTTCCCATGTGTCAAAAATCTTAACCAGAATTGTACAGAGAAGGAAAAAAGTAAAGAAGATGAATTTGGGTTTAAAATAAATAGAGGAACGCGGGAGGTTATTATAGCTTTACGGGTAACATTAGAGAAAAGAGAAGAGTGCGTACATAAGATTTGTAGATTTAGAAAAAAACTTCTGACAATGTTAAATGGAACAAGATGTTAAATTTACTTAAAAATGTAGCGATGTGAACGTTTCGTCTAACCTATTATGATTAAACCCGATTCATCAATTGAACTGATCGCATTATATATCAATAAATGTAGATCAGCGATAATAGGATTTTGCTTTTTGAGAAAATCCTGAACTAAATGATCCGATATTTCAATTACAGCCTGCCATTTATTAATAAAGCTTTTTTCCAGTTTGGCATTTCGCGACGAGAATCATTACCCATTAACGGTTCTCATTTTTTCAGTAAACGACTCCAACAGGACAACGCAGTCGTGTTAAAAGGCACATTATTATATTTTATACGGCGAAAGTTCACGAGGCGTAAACCACTCTACGAGCAGCGAGCAAGCAAGTCGGATAAAATCCCAAATCCGCATATAATTTGATCAAATCTCAATGTCCCCGCGAAGTTAAGTGGTTCGCTGGCTGTCCAGGTTTCATTTCCTTTGTTTTTCCCCACTTCCTGCGTCCGTTACGCAGATTATCTCTCTCTTTCTACGGACTCTACAATGCGAGCGTGTACTTTATATACATCGTTCATTATTATACGACGTTCCTTTATCTTTTGATTTATTTCAACGGCACCAGGAACAGTGCTGTTCTTGTACTGCTCCGTACACGATACATACAAACGTACGAATTACAATTAAACGGTTCCGTTGACGTACACCAGGTAGTGAGTGAATTTCTACATATACCCAGGAGTGTAGAAACAAATGCAAAAGATCTAATATTATTGCAAAAATTAATAAAGAGATTGTCTCATTTATTTTGACGAAACGAAAATATTTCTCACTAAAAAGCGTGAATTTTTTTTGACTTTTATTCACTATCTCAGGTGCTATCACAAAAATTCTTTGAATATTCTTATTAAGCATGTTATAATCGATAGAGATCGACTTCACAACCATCAAAATCAATCAAGAATCAGCCAATTAGTCAAATCAAATTTTGAACTGTTAAATCTAAAAACGTCCCGTTGGAATACTAGTCAAGAAAGTCACTCTATTCATTTCTACAATAATCCCACATGGCTCAACTTTGAATTAGTGATGTTTCGTCTTTTCAAACTAAATCGTTAGATACAACATATGTACTTATTTTGATTCATCAGCGTATCAAAATTAGTTTTTCCTTCTGAATTTATAATTCTTCTTATATATTTAATCTCTATAAATAAACCGTACCATAGTGGTCCTATCTAAGTGTAAAACATTCATGAAAATACCTATAGGTTTTCTAGTCGAAATCAAGCATGTACTTCTAAAGACGATTAAGAAGCAAGCAATACAAATATTTTAACTTTTCATATTATTAGTAGACATTCGAAGTGTTTAAATTAAATGTCAACCAGACCAAATTTCTAATTGAGTAAATCCACTAAATAAAATTACGTCGCTACCTACCCGATTGTTTGATCGATTCGATTATATGATCCAAAAGATTACAGACGTGTCAGCAAATTACGGTCAGAGTCGCTACGATTTCCATTAATAGTTACGTACTACCCACCTATGTTTTTAAAACAGATTGTTAATTATTATGAACACATTAAAAGCTACCCCAATGCCGATGCTATCAATTCTGATGAATATACTCCAACCAGTTTTCGCTTTAAAAGAGAAAATTTTTGTTTTGTATCATTCCCCGCAAAATATGCTGAAGCACGCGATAAAGATAGCATAAGAATGAAACAACATCTTTGGAACAGACCCAGAGACATAGCTTAAAGTTATGATTATTGCCCAGTATTTCGGGTCATCTGTCCTGGTGCAAGTTTTTCTGTGGTTTCTTGGGATCTCCGATTGTGAGCAAAATGCTGGGATAACTATAATATTAAACTGAAAAACCTTTCATTTGTCCTACATCTTTACTTCGTCCATCTTATTTTTCTCTTTTCAACCACTACTCATTCGATTCTCACGATTCCTAAAAGGCTAAAGCGGATTCTTCATCTTCCCGCGTAGTTAGGAGGAACTTTAATGTAACGTCAGTTTTTAAAAGTATAACTATTTACACACAGAAATACTGAAGTAAGAGGGTTGTAATTGTTATAACAAAAAGTACCTACTTTTCCCACCGCGCATCCACACCATTTTAAAATTTCCGCCAGCTTCGAGCGTCAGGCCTGCATTTATATGTACTTGTAACGTAATACGAACAATTTTTTGTAGAACTTGCACGTGGAGAAATAAACTATTAAAAATTGTAAACAAGTCCGGCTGATAAAAGATGGAAAATTCCTCTAATAACAGTTCGTTTGCTCCTGTCTCATTCGAAATGTATTATGTATCGTTTTATTATTGTTATCAAAGGTCTGCATTCTGTAGTCCCGTTATCTTTACAGCCGCAGATAGAGCTATCATCGAACAGCACTGCGGAGCACCACATTCGATGTGGCACTTCGGACAAAATTTAGAGCCCCTTTATCGCGACAAGCGACGAATAAATTAATTTACTTATTTATCAAGACGGTTTTCCTGTGTGGCGCCAACGGATATGCAAGAGATATACACGTAAATTTTTTGTTTTCTATTTAGATAGACCCAGAAGCACAACATACAACGTAATACGACAAAAATTTTTGAATATTTCATTAAAGGCACCCTCGACGTTGATAAGTACTAGTCACATCAGCCCTCGACTTCATTCTTGTGAAGTTTCTCACCTTTATAACAAACTACTACTTTTAGTTCTCCTTAGATACTTGTACGAAATGTAACCTAACCTCAAACGAACATACTAAGGGTATTTTAACAGATTGCATTGACAAATGTATAATATTGTTCTGTCTATTACTTTTGACTGAACTTGGTTGTTTTCAAAACACAATTTAAACGGAATTGCCCGTTGTAAAACTGTATGTTGTGCAGGTACCTGCGCCAGCTTTCAGTGACACCTCTGTAACATTGTGAACGTATTATTATCAACCATTTATGTTCATGAAGTATTAGCGTCAATACAGGGTTATAACCGGCAAAATTTTGTTAATAATAGTAATGACCCTGTGTAAATAACCTTATTATAGTTGTAGCGCCTAAATCGATTTTCTAGTATTTCAAACGTTGATATTTTCTAAATTTTATTTTCTTATTATCCTCCCTAAATCTAAAAACGTCCAGGACTTTCAGCCCCCCTTTAGCCAGTCATCTAATAATTTCATTTCTAAAATACTATTTGCTGAGTGGTGTAAATTTTAAGTTAAAAATACAATTTTGAAGCCAAAAAGAAGTTCCATTTGGGATTATTTTGTCGATAATAACAATGCAAGTGCTAAATGCATAATTTGTAACAAAATATTTGGGAAAAGGGCGCACGACCACTGCATTAAAGAGTTACCTAAAATCATTAGGTACACTTCCGCATCCGCTTCCGTAAAAATTTACTATTTACTTGTTTCTGCTTCTACTTCCGTTATGACAGTTCCGATGCATCGCTAGTACGTATACGCCATAACAACCAAAATGGTAGATACCGAAATGTTGAAACAGTGGCTATACTGAGAAGGGATCAACATCAGCTACTCTAAAGCTCGTTCAATGTTAGAAAACAGCTTTCAAAACCGCCTAGGCATTATTCGTAATGGCTGCGCCACACATATTGCGTTTACATGATACTTTTGTAACCTTTTTCTTAATATTGATACGACATTACATCCAAGGAGTTACCAGAAATAGTTTCTTTTTGTTTCTGTATAAAATAACTATTTCTTTTTGCTTTAGAATTCTTAATTTACGCAGTTTTCTGCATTACACTGCGACTTGCTTTGTGCTCATGCGCTCTCACATATTACTCGTCCTGAAAACATACAACCCATCACACGACGATTACTTTGATCCACATAACGGTTTTTCACATTCACAATTAAAACAAATGAAACATCAAAATGAAGCAATTCCCAAAGAACTTTATTTTTGGATACGTGTAGATACTTCAATCCATGAAATTAAAAAAATAACTTATCAAATTTCTTACGAACGTGTCCCAAACGTACAGCTTACAAAGAATTAAAACATTCAGAGCAAGTAGTACCTTTAAAACCTCGTAACTTTTCGGAAAAGTGACATTTACTTCTATACTTTGAGGAACATTTACATCGGCATCGAACATGGCCCAGCCAACATTCTCCATGACACCATTATCACCCTGAGCATACAAATGTCCAATAAGATCTTTGAAATGCGGATCTTTTTGGGCATTCATGAGAAATTGACCGTCTACTATTTGCTCAATCAGTTCATTTTCGCCATTCATCAAAATATGATTTTTATAACGTCTGGCCATTTCTTCCACAAACGCTCTATAGCAAAGGGGGCACTGAACACTGGACAACGGCTCACCCACAATATCTACATCGCCTACTATATTCCCAAAAGCATCTTCATCTTCACTGTTGTTGTTATTATTATCCGATTCTCTTTCATTTCCTTCCAAGATGAAATCTTTATTTTCTTGATCCTTGTTGCTGTTCTGAACGTCATCCAATTCAATCTCTTCGCTCTTTTCCCTAATGTCATCCACGACTTCCCTATTTTGCTTCTCATAGAACGAGTCGTATTGTAAAGTTGGAGAAGGAATTACGCCGTTGAGCAAATCTTCGGATTCTACGATATTTTTATCTGTTAGTCGCCTCAATCGACGGAATCGTTAAAATGCAAACCTTTATAAAACTCGGTGATTTTTTGTCGATATAAATTAAAAGCTTCCATAAATTTTTCCATTATCCCTTAATTGATATTACTCTTACAATTAGCTTTATTGTGAGTAGGTTTCTGTGGTATCTTTTCGTTTCAGTTCAGCGGAGAATGATTGTAAATAATTAAAAAAATTGAACATCACCTAAAAACGATTTACCTTTAAGATTTAAGTTAAATAATAATCGTCGCCTGTTTCCTTTCCTATCTTCAATGCTGTTATCGATACATATACATATGTATGTCTCAGATGCTTTATATCCCTACTACTCCTTGCTTTCGTTACAAAGTACATATTATGTGAGTAGTTTTGATCAACAAGCAAAATGACAAAAAAATTGAAAAATGAAAAACATCACCATCAGAACAATTTAAATGTGAGCATAGAGAAAAATCGCGATAAAAAGTAGACAAATTGAGAACTGTACGAAAAGACATCATTTGGTGAATATGCCAACGAAGAAACACATCGACTATAATCTCAGCCCTATACAATTTTTATATGCATGATTGTAGTGTCCGACCGAAAATGGTTTTTACGACCGAAACTGAAACCGAATTTCGGCAACGGTCTCAGTTTCGGCCGAAACCGAAACCGAAACTTCCTTATAAGGATCATGTTTTGAGAGAAAAATAAAGAAAACGTTATTATAATCAGTCAGTTTTACTTTTTTATCTTTAAATCACATAGCTCTGCAGTCTGTGACATTTTCACTTATTAATAAATAATCAAATCAAAATCAACATAACAACCCCTCATTTAAGGTAATACTTTAATAGCGCGTTAAAAATACTTAAAATAGGTGAGATATTTATTTGAGTAAGTATAGTAGACTAGACTCATTTTTCTTTTGAAGATGCGAAATGTCTACTAATCTACTTCGCTTGGATGGAATTTAACGCGCCGAACGTGACCGAGCAGAGCGCGAAAACTCTCGAACGCAGTTTCGGTTTCGGTCGTAGTTCGGCAGGTTTGACGCCGAAACCGAAACTAAACCGAAACTCGTTTTTTTGCCGAAACTCGACCGAAACCGAAACCGAACTTTCGGTCGGACACTACATGATTGTCATCTTGTCGTAGATATTAAGAGAAATTTAAAAGCACTGTTTAAAATCATTCGACAATTTGGTTATATCATATATTCGATTGAGAATTACATGAATTCGCAGACGTTACTGGACAAACATATAATTTTGAAATAGGACTCTTCTATAGTCATGCCACTGGTAGTTTCACTTCATTAGCAATAGATGCAATTCCATTATTTCACGAAATGAACAAATAATTTCTGGCATTTTTTTGGACTAATTGCGCAAAAATATAAAAAATCATTTACCTAAATTTCTTTCGTAAAAACAACGACAAAAAAGGTCTTCAGTTAAACTTATTGGTTCTTTCCGCTATGTGTATTCTTGTCTTCAATGACAGTAATGACAGATTGTTCGGCTGGATGATTCGTTACGGATTCTATATGCGGATCTTCCTCCTCGTAGGTCTTTTTGAGAAGGTCTTCGATAACGTCGCTACAGGCCTTAGCTAATGTATCTCTCGACTGAAACGGTAATTCTGTAATTTTGATGTGATCGAACATACCTAGCAGTTACGAAAATTTTGTCGCTCGGAAATTTCATGCGGCGACGTTCCCATTTATTTCCAGTTGCCAACTGGATTAGTTAATGATTTCGATATTCAGCTACTCTGCATTTATGAGTTGACACCAACTCAAATAGCAATCTCGATCTTTATGATATTCTGGAGAAAATATTGAAGCACCTCTAGAAAATGACTCGGCAATAAGAAGTCCACAAATCGTCAAAGAACAAATTTTAAATCAGGACCACCTGAACTAACCAGAAACCTTTCAGAAGGGCATAACATCAAGAAGGAAAAGAAAACAAAAAAACTGATGCAACAGATGGGAGAAGAATTGTGTCCGGTGCAGGCTCCGCTTTTCTTTGATCATTCTGGGCAAAAAATGAAGATTGGAAAAAAAATTGGAAATTCTGGGCAAGTGCCCAAGGCCCCGCGATCGATGCGGGGACCCCAGTTTCTGCCAGATCCATCCACCAACCAAAAACCAACGTATTTATTTTGAGGAATTCAACCATTAATTACAAACCAAATTGAAAACACATTTCCAGATGTGAAAAATGCATTGAGAAACCATGATGGAACCTAACCAACTACCATTGAGCGCTCTTTCTCCAAATTAAAAAGAATAAAAAATTAACAATAAAATCGACCAGTACGTCTCTGATGTCCATAGAACGTGATGTGCTTAAAGATAGAGATTTTGAACAACAGATTGACGATTTTCCTTTTATGAAAACTTTTCAATAAGCATAAAATTTTAAGCACTAACTTATGAATGCTAAAGGAGTTACTGTTCCGAATTAAACATATTACAATTATCTATGCATTTATTGTGATTGTAAATAAGCAAAAATAATTGTTCAATAAATTTGGAATTTTGCTTATCTACTCTTTTTGACTGTTTTAACAAAATAGTCCTCTGTCAAAGTCATATTAGGGGCCGCGATATCTTTATGTGCCCTGAGCCTCTAGTAGGTTGAAGACGGTCCTGGTCAGGCGAGCATTTTACGAGCCTCTAATTTTAGACTTTCGTACAAGTCAACTCCTAAAAACCTCACGTTTTGACAATTTCAAGATTCATTTTAGCCACTTTGTAGTTTCAGTTTCACGGACATCAAAAATATGAAATTGTTTTTAAAAAATGTCGGCCGTTAAATGTGAGCTTTGTATACTGGTTTTAAATGTATAAATAAAGGCGCATACTAACTTATGAACAGAATTATTCGTGCGCGGTAGGTATTTGTTTCTTGTCCTCGTGATTTTCAATTTGTGCGCGTATCTAATAAGCTAAGCTGTAATGATTCGTTCAATAAAATAATCCTTCCTGCTTTCAATAAAAACCAGTCAGTCCAACCTGAACAAATATCCTTTGATGTTCGCAAGAAACCGACGAACGGCGAATAACGTTCGTGCAGACACAATAGGATTTCAATTCCGAACTGACTTAAACGTTTTTATGCCCAAATCGTTCGTAGGAGCAAAGTTTAAGTCAGTGTACATATCTTTGTTTCATATTTGGTAATCTATGGGCATTAAAATCACGAGATTCTGTGTGAGAAAAGTAGGAAGTAGAAGTAGGATTATTATTATTGTCAACATAAATAACAGTTTTTATTGATTTTATTGCACATTACTAATGATTAGAATTTGATTTTCGATATGAAATTTCGTTATGGCTGTACTACGAGTATGCACCAAATAACCAAATGGTATTAGGTTTGGTTTAAATTACAGATAGGCCGGTTGGGTACCCGGTTTGGATCCAGCACTTTTTTAGGATCTAGCCGAGTACTGGATAATGACGCCGGGTACCTGGCAATGTCCGGTAATTCTACCAGGGAAAAAAACAAAAAACAAATACCAGCAAGAATAATTTAATAAGTAATTAAGACGGTATTGGAATAGGTTGTTTGTCCTAATTTATACTATTTATTGATTACTATGCTAAATTATTTTTTTTATATATGGTTTTGTCAGCTTGCAGACTTTTAGTGCTTATAAAAATTTAACCCTCTCATTGAAAATCCGCCAACCAAGAATTAAAATTTCATTAATTGATTGTTGTTTAAACAACTTTTTGAACTAGACTTCATGTGGTTTGGGACCATGTTTTCTAGACGTCAAAATCTGGATCTTTCTAGAATAAGTCCGGCCCTACAAATAGTTATATAAGGTGGAGGTGTGGTGGCATGGCCTAGAGGTTTAGACCCTTGCTTAGCATACGGGAGGACGCCGGTTCGATTGCGAGTCCATCTGCTTTGGTCCAAGTTTTTCTGTAGTTTCCTTGGATCTTCTGCCTTCATTCAGTCCGTTTCATCTTTCTCACCCCGACAACCACCCACAAATTCTTACGATTCCCGAAAGGAGGCTGAAGATGGTCTTCCGCCCTACCTTCTGACGTAGTCCGGAGGGACTGCTCGCCTACCAGCATTACTGGCTGGTGGGAATGAAACCCAAAAGTTTAAGTTTTTCGAACGAAGACATGAACCATTAACTGAAGTGGTTTTGCCTGGTACCCGATTATCTCTAGTTTAAATGTAATCTCTTTTATTTTGCAGTGTTAGTTCGTTTCAAGTTGATGTTCTCATTATTCCTTTAATTGGTAGTATTTATACATCGAAATACATACTCAAATTTTATTTTCAGCTACCTCTGGCTCCACTGAATTAATGACATTTATTGTGCAGTCTCCAAATTGATCAAAGGTTCATATGGATAACTAACTGTGTATCCATGTATCACAGTTTTAACAAGTTTTAACTCTTTCGCTTCCATTAACTTGCGAGTTTTCATGTTAAATATTTATCAACAAACAGTCAGTCAGCAGTAAATCATAAAGTCATTTCCTGTGAGTTTTATTGGTTTCAAGGAATTGTGTCCTTTGTACGGGAGTTATACAGAAACAAGTAAGTGTTACATGCACTTGCAAAAACAGGTCATTAATTAGACATCAGTTATAACCTGTACGCTTACAGCACACTATCATGCAAGAAATCCGGTGAATATATTACACAAAGTACCTAAAAAATACCACAAATGCTCCAACTTGGAGCATACGTAATCCTAAAATGCAGCATCGTACTACAGATGGCGTTCACCACGCCATTTGTGGTATTTTCTAAAACGCGCTGTTAAGACAGCAGGTAAAGGTTGGTCTGTGTTCTGTCGGAGCTGTCTGCGACGCGCTGATGAGATCCAAAAAGATCGAAATCGCGATCCGCGTCTGGCAGTTTCGACAGAATACAGACCACTTCGAATTATTTTATACAAAGTACCTAAATGAGCAAGAAAAAATAATCCAAGAAGTTGGTTATAAAATCACGATTATTCAAACAAAATTCTCGATTGGTGCGACGCAAATATTTTGGATAAATGTGTGGTGAAAATTTTTAGACATATTTTTTTTTTTTCGGTATGTTTACTTATAACCACCCGCAAAAAGGTATCAAAACTAAAACGAACTGGCTACTAGTTAGTTATCCAAAAAGATTTTGGTTGACAGTACTGTAAAACATGAACTCGTTTTGAAAAGTGAGCAAGTTATAATTTGCCATTGGCAGCTGTTATTAAAAAATTTTCTGCTAATTATTAATCGTTTTTTATAAAATTACTGTATTTAGCTTTGTTACCTTCATTTACATATTATATAGGTACATACTTCAATAATAATTTCACAAACATGGGGTTATTGGAACGTCTGTAATAGTTTGGGCGTTTTCCTTAACCTTAATGGATTGTTTACGAATTGCAGTTACTAATAAGTATCTGTTAAAATGTCAAAAAGTACTAAATTTTTGGGGAAAGGGCATTATAGAACTATGAAGCCTCCTCCATATAAGCATCTAGATCTAACCATAAGTGGTTCTATTTTCACAAGTAGCTATCGAGTGGCATGGTCTAGAGATTTAGACAATTACTTATCATTCAGGAGGACGCCGGTTCGATTCCAAGTCCGTCTGCGTTGGTCCAAATTTTTCTGGGGTTTTCTTGGATCATTTAGGCAAATGCTGGGGCAGCAATATTTTACAGATAATCTTTCATTCTCTTTTGTCTTAATTTTTCTCATCTTTCTCACCCGAACCACCACCCACCCATCCCCACGATTCCTGAAAGAAGGCTGAAGAAGGCCTTCTGCCCTACCTTCCGGCGTAGTCCGGAGGGACTGCCCGCCCACCAGCATTACTGACTGGTGGGAATGAAACACCCAAAAGTTTTTACAGTTAGCTCATAAACCTTTTACTCATGTGTACGAGGTCGGTTCAATAAGTACCCGTGTTAGACATGAAGACACCTTTTTTTTTTAAATTCGTTTTTTTATTTTTCAACAGAAAGATACACTTTTCCCAACGACCCCGCCATTTTTTAGCCCTCCAAAAAATAAGATATGTCGAACTCTTCAAAATCCCCCCCTGTCTCGGCGATGACTTCCTCGTTTGAGCTAAATTTCTTTCTCGCTAGTCATTTCTTCATGGTAGGGAACAAGATGAAGTCGCAGGTAGTCAAATCCAGTGAGTACGGGGGTTGCGGAAGCAAATTCATAACGTAATTCATGCATTTTGGCGACAACAACTCCTGATGAATGTGCCGGTGCGTTATCGTGTTGAAAACGCACCTTCTTTTTCGTCAAATGCGTCAGTGTCTCCTTCAATTTTTTGTCGAAGCGGTCCAAGAACTCACTGTAGTATTGTCCATTGATCGTTCTTCCTTTTCCAAAAAAATCCGTAAAATGATTTCCTCGGTAACAACGTTTGCCAGGCTTCCTGGTCGCTCATATCAAAAACGGATCTTTGCCCACGTTTAAATTCGTTGAAGCAATATCTAACTGTGGTCGTAGATAGCGAAATGTCTCCATAAACAGTATCCAACTTTGTTTTCATCTCCTCGCATTTTTTCCCATCCAAAAACAAAAAGCGAGTTACCGAACGATACTGCTCTTTTTCCATCTTAGCGAAAATAACGAAACACGTCTCAGTCGAACGGCTGCCAAATCCAAACTAACCTATCAATCAGTCTGAAATTCGTTTTGACGTGGTTTGATAGATGGCAGCACACGATGACAACACCAATTTCCCTCAGGAACGT